AACTGTAAAGTGAATCCCTCAAGTGGATTTGTGGCTGTTTCTAAATTAATCATATTATTTGATGCCCCGTTGAAGGCAACGAAAACAATTTCTTAATGAAAAATCTCTGAAACTTTTCCAATATGTCATATCTCAGAAAACTCCAGACTTGAGCCGCATAGCATACTATGGAGCGTAATATCGCATCAAATATTTGTTTTTTGGTGGTTAGTGGGATCAGATCTTGAGCAATGAAACTTGACCAATTCCTATTAAGGCCCATTTTTGCAGCCAATGTACGATCTTTGAAATGGTAAGTAAATGAAAGACTGGAGCTTAGCGTGACACCCAAATATTTATAAGTATTGACTACTTCTATTGGTAAACCTTTAAATCGCCATTTATCTGCAGCAGCCAGTCTTCCGCCTTTCCTAAAAACCATAATTTTTGATTTAGAAAGATTTACTGTCAAATTCCAATCATCACAATAGGCTGCCAAAAGGTGTATGTTTCTTTGCAGTGTAACCCTACCTTCAGCCAGCAGCACAATGTCATCAGCATACTTTAAAATGCTGATACGGGTTCCGCCTATACAACTCCTCCTTCAAGCGTAAGAGGAAGATCATCTAAATACAAAGAAAAGAGGAGTGGACTGAGAAAACATCCCTTTCACAGGAAAAAATTTGGAAATTCCCTCTGCACCACGAACCGCCGATTCCGATTGTGAATAAATATTTTTTAGGACATTAATGAATTTAGTTGAGACACCCACATTGTATATTTTCCAAATCAAAGAGTTTCTAGAGATACTGTCAAACACTGCTTTGAAGTCTACAAAAAATGCAAAGATCTTTTCTCCTTTTTTAAGGAATTTAATTTTTATAATATTTACCAAAACAAATAAATTGTCAATTGTTGAGTACCTACGTCTAAAACCTGTTTGGTACTGACTAAGAAGTTCATTCTACAAGACTAATGTTTCCAAACGGTGCAAAAGAAGACCAGTAAAAAATTTTGCAGATGCATTCAAACATGATATACCCCTATAATTATGAATATTATTAATGTCACCACGTTTCAAAAGAGGAAATAATATAGATTTGCCAAAGGAAGCCGGAGCTTCGCCAGTCTCATAAATTTGATTATAAAGAGAAAGAAGCTTGCCCAAAAATACAACAGGTACATGTTTGTAAAACTCATATGATATTCTGTCTATGCCCGGCGCCTTGTTATTCTTTAAATTACTAATCACAATTTGCAATTCACTTAAATTAAAAGGAAGGTTTAGTGCAGTCGAATCAACATATGGTTCAGCATATAATACAAGTCCACTATTACCAGGAGGGTTAAGTAAGTTTTGAAAATGGGAAATTAATTTGTGGAGATCGATATTACCAAAAGCAAAATTTCTTTGCTTAAATTGTTTAGTCAAGTGCCAAAATTCCTTAGAATCGTTTACATTTTTAAATCATTCGATTACCATATTAAGATGTTCCTTTTTCTTTTTTAAACATAAATCCTTATAAGCCCTGTTCGCTTCCAAATAATTATGCTTGACGATATTGGATCTAGTTCGACGAAAAAGATTCAACAAGGCAAACGACTTACTTCTTGCGCAGAGGCACTGTCCATCAAACCACATATTTTGTCAGATATTTCTAATGTACTGAGAATATTTAGTATTCGACAGAGAAGAGCTTTTAATACAATCAATTAATATGTTTAAAATTCTTTCATGGTCAGGAGGAAAGTATGAAATTTCTTCAATCTCTAATTTCAGGTCATTTTTATAAATATCTGTATATTCATCCATCCAAACCAACTGTAGCAAAAGGGGTATACAATTACATTCTGGAGTGTCTCTAAGTGAGATCTCACAAAAAACTGGTAAATGATCCGAAAATGGTTCTGCTAAAATTCTGAAATCAACAATGCATGAAATATAATCTATTGGAAAACAAATAAAATTAATTACAGATTTACTCATACTACTACCGAAGGTGAATTCACCTCCAATATCATTAAATCTACCATTCAAAATTATTAAATCATGGTCATCACACAGTTCTAATATTTTGAAACCTCGGCTATTAATGATCCTATCTCTTGATTTCCATAACGGGTTACAATTAGGATTATCCAAAATTAAATCAGAGGGTTGATACTGAGAATCTGCAATCCTAGCATTGAAGTCCCCAGTTAAAACAAATTTAATGTGTGAATTTTTTACGAGAAAGTTTGATAAACTAGAAAAATCTGAGTCCCATGAATCGCCATGTAAATATATGGACAAAATATACAATTCAATTAGATTTTTAACATAAATCACTGTAATGTCATCAATATCCAGAAATTTAACCTGGCATTGTGGTAAATTAGATCTAATTACATACAATATACCTCCCATAGCACACCCAAAACGAGCATGCCTCATACCAGGAATCCAGCAGAAACAATATCCATCAAAACATTTACTGTATTAATTCAATTTATCGTCTATAAAAGTTTCTAACAATACAAAAATATCATATTTCTTAAGAAAATGTAAAAAATCACAAGTCGGATTATTTAATTTAGATTTTAAACCTGCTACATTATATACAATAAGAGAAATTGATGTATTGGAAGAAGAGACTTAATGAATTTTTTGCCGGCAGACTGGCCTATCTCGTCTTTACGTGATGAAACAAATTTTGTAGTATTATTTTCAGATACGATTGATTACATTTGAAAAATAATCTTTTGATAGAGTATCATTACGAACAGCTGTTATAAAATTAGACAGATCAGCACCTACCAGATTGTTCAACACCTCCACACCGTCTTCGCCCCCACACTCCAAACCAACATCTTCAGACCAATTAAATCTGATTTCCTTTCTAAGCAACAGGAGTTAACTTCTTCTCATCGTAGTCCTTTCACCAAAATCCTGGTGTATCATAAATCCTATTCTTCGCAGCCGTTTTAAGGAGTTCATTATTAATAATTTATCTTTATATCTCATATACGAGACCATAATTGGTCTATTAGGGGCCGTTGCTCGTCCCAGAGGGAAAGCATACAAAAACTCTTGCGCTAATTGAACTTGTAAAACCTCACTTCAAAAATCGGAAATAATTTTACAAAAATTATTATCTTGTGAATTATACGTCAATCCTTTAAATATTAGGTTGTTTCTGCTGTTTTTATTATCTAACTCGTCAACTAGATTTTGAGTCTTTGTATTAGCCTTCGTAATAGCGCAGTAACTCAGATTTCAATTGTACGTTCTCTTTTTTAATAAATTAATTTCATTATGAATGTTAAAAATATCTTCTTTGGTGGCCAGATGTGAAAGCTTCGAATCAAGTAATTGAGACGTGTATTCCATTAACTGGTTCATATTTATTTGACAATTGTCTTGAGAGTTACCAGACACCATTTTTTAATATTCTACAGGATTTTTTTTTATTATTGGGATTGATACAGGACTAAGGAGAACTTCTACTTCTTTTCAAACGGAATGTATTTGTTGACTGTTTTAATTTAGGAGGCATGCAGCAATTAGAATAAACAAATAAAATATATTCTATGTACTCCTACGTAGCCAAAATGAAATAACATAGCCGAAATAACGAAGTTGAATAAATTATTTCTATTATTTCACGCGTGAAGTTTATTAAGTCAATAGCATTACTAACCTTGATTGTTCGTATTGATAATAATAATAATAAAGTTACTGATACCTTATTTATTGTGTATACTCAGTAATATCTAAATCACCTGTATCCCCACTCCACCTCTCATAATACCACTGCACTGATATCCTTGGTTATCTTATAACACTAATTATGAAGAATTGGCTCGACAGATTTTCTTCAAAATTCATATAATGAAGGAAATGTTATTAATGATCACTTATGCCAATTTTCACAAACAACTAACGCTTTTAACCATTTAAATTTAATGCAGTTTTAACAGACCATGTACACTGTGTACCACAACTGTCGTCTGACTCCCAACATTCATTCTTTCATTCATTCAGCATTTAATAGTCCTGCTAACTTGAACCAGCTCAAAACCATCATAATGTCACCCAACACAAAGCATATGTTTTTTTTCTAATTGATCTTGGGAAACCTCTGTTTGGCGGAGCCATTTGGCCCTGCAGTATACTCTGTTTTTAGTTGAAATTTTTTTTTTTTTTTAAAGTATTCATTTTCCATTGCTCATTTGGATTCTTTCAAGAATCTTCCATTTTTTAGATTTTGAGGCAAACTTTCACAGATACACAAGTACAATTACTTCTCATTGTTGTGCTTGAGGACCTTGTAAGTCATGAGGATTTGATCTGGGTCATACATTTCGGGTATTAAGCTTTTTTAAATGGTAATTTACCATAGTATTTGAAACTATCATTTCAAACAATAATCCTTAAGTGTTCACTAACAGATCCTAGTCGATCGGTTCATGTTCTAAATAAGTAAGTATTTTGAACTAAATATGTAAATTAAAAAATACAAAAAATCTGGTGTATTGCGCATATCATACAAAGGAAGATCTGTCGAAGGCTACTTATCAATGGGTTGTGTATTACTCCTAAGACAAAAAATGGGTGTTCCAGGAATGTACAGAGGATTTGAATTGAAGGAGATTGGATACATATGGTGGCCGGTGACATTACATAACTTTTTAGAAAAAGGATGCCGGGAAATACTTAAAATGGTAGGAAGGGTTAAGCCACTTAAACTTTTTATAAATTCAGGAAGCAAATATGGGCATCTCGACAGATACTAAAGATGGAATGTGTAAAACAATTAACGAACTATTTTAAGATCTCCTGAGAAATCCCCATACACCATAAAATAGAAGTACCTAACCTATTATCTGTCACCATATTTACAGTTTAGCTGTAGGAAGTGGCAACTTTTTTTCATTTATTTTGGTATGGGCATGTTTGTTTGTGTATGTATGAGGTGTTGGGTATATGTGTATGTATCATTTTGGACAGTAATTAATATGTTAAACTAATCTCTTTCCAGATGGCTACTACTCTCACATCTCTGAATCGTGATAGACTGCATGTTTTGGTATGTTATTTGATTTTATTGCTGTAAAACATTTTTTAAGTGTATAAAATATGTTAATGTTATTTTTAATTTATATTTTACTGTTTTTTAAGAGTGGGAAAAATACTGACAGTGACCTCTTGTTTTCCACTCCTGATACCTGCAATATTTATGAGTGAGTCTTTTCAATTTAATAAGTTTAGTTAACAATTAAGTTGTTATTTAACTTCAGAAATTTACATAGAATGTAAAACAGTAAAGAAAAGATCTTTTAATCATTTAAATTTATTTAGAAAAAATTATCTGATATCATCAAAATTAATAATGTTGAAACCAACTCAGAATACCAACATATTTTTTAGGATAAAAAGTTCATATAGATTTATTATGAATATAATTCTTACTTAATTTTATTGAATATAAATCAATAAAATTAAGTAAGAATTATATTGAATATAAATCAATAAAAAGTTTGTTCATATAAATTTTATATGAATATAATTCTGAGTATATAGCATATGGCTCATTCTATGAAAAAGGTTCTTTTTGGGTTCCTAGCTGATTTCACACTGAACTCTGTAATAAAATATTCAGTGATTATTGATTGAAATTGCTATAAGACTAGGGTAAATGTTTGATACAGCTGTATTAAAGTAGTGGAGACAGTTTATTTATCATCAGTGTAATCCTGTCAGCCTTATGCTAAACAAACAGGTTTGTTACTGTTGTTTTCATTTTTCTGTTCTTTCATCCTACAAAGTGATTATATTTATTAAAACAGCCAATTGTAAAATTTTTACCAAATCAGTGGACCAAGATGAAAAAGCTAAATTAGCTTGTGTCATTTGTCAAGATTTATGTCTTATTAAATGTATTAAAATTGATACTACCCTGAGGCTTGAGAGGAACTAGTAAAAAATGGCCATGTCCCGTTCCAATTGCTAATTAACATCGTGGACATTGTTATCTTCCAAATCTAGGACAGTGGTAGGCCTACTGAGGGTGCTAACTGAGGAGGTTAATGAAATGAAGGCCAAACTTCAAGGGATAGATGAGTTAAAGGAAACCCTCCCTCAACAATCTCTCTTTTGTAAAACTAATCACTGAAGAATAACACTATTTGAGCAAAACTAACTGATTTAGAGGATCCTTTGAATTTTACTGAACAGAACCAATTAAAAAACACAAATGTAAGGAATATGACTGATTTGGATGGAAGTTATCAAAGGATTTGAGGGGTAAGCAGATTTATGGGGGATTAGCTTTTGTAATTGAAATTTCGCTTCGGAAGAATGTGTTGCTTTAGGGGGCAAGGAAAGTAGGATATGTGATGTAAGGAATTTTGCTACTGTTACGTTGTGGGCGGCATGGGATTCCGGATGTGGAATAAATGTATTAGAGAGGTGTTTGACGAACTTCTCAGCTTTATCTTCGTCAGATGCTGCCCAGGTGCCGTCATCTCGTTGGAGGGGATGGGAAATTTGGTGAGGGCTTAGGATTTTTTTGTGGTTTTCCAAAGAGAATTGTCACGAGCAGAGAGGGAGGATAGGTAGGAGTTAAAGGATTGTGATCTGAAGATGGCTAATTCCAGTTTTAATTGTTTGCAGTAATAATTATAGAAGCTGCGGTAGGTAGGATGTCGAGGATGTTGCCATAATAATCTGGTACGGCGTTTGGTGTGGGTTAGGTAATGGAGGTATTGGGGGTAGAATGGTCTTTTTAGGAATTCTTGAGGAATCTTTTGGGGAGTAAGCAGTCCAGGCAGCTTGTTGGATCGTGGTAATAAAGGAATTTATGGCACTATCTAGGTCATCGAAAGTTTTTGGGATATATTTGAGATCAATTTTATCGGAGAAGATGTGGCAGAAAAGGTCCCAGTTAACTGGGCCTAATTTTTCCCCACTTTAACTATTGCTGCATGGATTATGGTATATCAGTCAGGCAGCAATAGGTGCTATTAACAATTACTACGTATATTGAAAGGTCGTTAAGGAATGCAATACAGCACTTTACGAACTAACTGAGCACAATAGAGTTGCAGTGGAGTGGGTGCCCGGTCACTCGGGCGTACTAGGCAACGAGGAGGCTCATGAACTAGCCAGATTGGACTCAGATACCATTCCTGTAACTCCCGAGCCTGTCTGTGGAATCAGCCTTAGCACTGCCAAGGGTAGGATCAGGGAGATTTATGGGAACAAATTTAGTAATTACTGGACTGACAAGAAACAGCGACATTCGAAGCTGTTCCTTAAAGGTCCATGTGAAAAAAGAAGCAGAGTGCTACTGAGTATGGACAGAGCAGCCCTTAAAAAGCTTACAGCAATCTATACAGGTCACTGTGAGCTAAATTACTATATGTTCAATCTCCGAGTAATGACGAATCTGTTATGCAGCCTTTCACATCGTGTGTAGATGTGACAGATTCACAAGGCTGAGACTGGTAGTATTTGGGGAGGAACGAATGGATCTCCCCAGTAGTTATGAGTTGGTCAATCCAACCAGCCTACTTAGATACGTGGAAGCGCCTAGAATAACGTTTTGATTAAAAAAACGACTTACTGAAATTGGCGCACAATGGACCCATTAGGGGTCAACGTGCCCAGGGCCAACATTAAAAAAAAAAAATGGTATTTGGGGGCGTCTCTGGGGATCTCGAGGCAAAATTAAAACGCTTGATAAATTGCTTTGTACAATTCATCTTCGGGATCCCAAGGGACGCCTCTGTTTCCCGTTTTTTATGTAGAGTTGAAGTGGCTTTATCCTTCCTACCGTCGTAAGTATTTCCTGGCATCCTTCCTCTTTCAAGTCATCCAATCCCACCGACCTTCATACATCTTCGAGCTCCTCCTATTCAAATCCCCTGTTCGCTCTCGCAATACTCGTTCCAGGTCTTCTGATTTATACATAAGGGCCCACTGAACTGCTGCTTTCGACAGATTGTTCACTATCTGATTCTAATCCCTATGGAACTCCATCCCTTCCCACATCCGTCAATCCAATACCTTTCCTACCTTTAAATCATTTCTTATCCATCCAGTCCCCATTAAATTGTAAATAGATACCACTGTAAATATGTATATAAATTATTAGATTGTTCTTCATTAGTTTTACTTTATTTTCAATTTTTTATTATTAACTTATTTAAGTTAGAAAGTAACTTATAATTTGTTAATATGACTATTTCATTACTCAACATTTCTTTTTATGTATCTCTGAGGCTCCTTAGCCCATATTACTGTCCTTCTGTATTATTCTAAAGGGACTCGTCCCAGAATAAATAAAGTATTATTATTATTTTCGAATTTCACATTTTCTTGGCTTTTGCCAGAAATATTCACCTACCTGGACCAAGATTAAGGGTTAGGTTCAAAATATAAACTATATTTAAGAACTTCCTGATGTTGTGCCTAGGAGAACTGCTTTTTGTCCTTCTTCCAACACTTTCTCTGGTAGTTTTAAATTTTCAACAGAGGGAATGGTATCGTCTGGGATGAGGCCATTGCTGAAAATTACAGCTGGATATACCTGGACTTGATTCAGTTTGTAAAGTTGCCGAAGCTCTTGGCACAAGTCTTGATATTTCCTAATCTTTTCAGAAATAGTCTTTCTGATATTATCATCGGTTGAAACCGCTATATCTATGACATACCCACTTTGTTTCTTCCGATCAATTAATACAATGTCCGGTTTGTTATTAACTACTGTGTGGTCTGTAATTATAGATCGATCCCAATATATTATTTTCTTTTCTTTTGACAGCACCGGTTTGGGCTCATATCGATAATAAGGTACCTCGTCTGTTATCATGATATTTAATGAGGCCAGGGCTTGGTGAACAATTTTAGCCAGGTTATTGTGTCTCATCAGATATTCTTTACCTGCCAATGCTTGACATCCCGAAATATGTTGGATTGACTCTATTGCATTTTTACATAAGCGACATAGGTCACTTACATTTTCTCCACATATATATTTTTTGTAAGCATTGGTGGATACTACCTGGTTTTGTATTGCCAAAATAAACCCTTCAGTTTCGGGAAATAGGTATCCTTTCTTAAGCCATTTATTAGAGGCCTCCCAGTTAATTCCCGATTGAGATAAAGGATTTTTAAAATGACCATGTAGTACTTTACTCTTCAAAATTTTGACCAGATTTTGTTAGGTGGGGACTTCTTTATGTTCCTTTGAAACTAAGTTTAAAGCTGTGTAGGTATTATCCAGCGATTTTATGGCTGACCATACAGGAGAGTTTCTTAGTTGGAAAGTGCATCTTAAATTATTTTCTTGCTCTCTACAGCTTCTTAATAAGCAGACAAGTCCCCTTCCTCCTTTTATCCGTGGCAAGTACATCCTCTCAATCTATGATTTGGAATGTCGTTTCCTGGCTGAGGTAAAAAGAACTCTCACCAAATGATTCATTTCCTCCAGCTCCGTATTAGACCAAGTTTTATTTTATTTTGTTATAATCTTGTTTTTCTTTTATTGTATATATACGTACCTTTTCCACCCTAAAACACTTAAATAGCCTGCGACACCTTTTTCCTTTTGAAATCCGTAGACTCCTGGTCACCTCTTTAATATTTCCCCACTTCGACTATTGCTGCACGGTATATGGGGGCGTCTCTGGGGATCTCGAGGCGAAACTAAAACGTTTGATAAATTGCTTCGTACGATTCATCTTCGGGATCCCAAGAGACGCTCCTGTTTCCTGTTTCTATGAAGAGTTGAAGTGGCTTTATCCTTCCAACCGCCGTAAGTATTTCCTGGCATCCTTCCTCTTCCAAGTAATTCACTCCCGCCGTCCTTCATACATCGCCGAGCTCCTTCAATTTAAATCCTCTGTCCACTCCCGCAATACCCGTTCCCGGTCCTCAGATCTATATATAATGGCCCACCGAACCGCTGCTTTCGATAAATCTTTTATTATTCGATCCTCTTGCCTATGGAACTCCATCCCTCCCCACATCCGTCAATCCAAAACCCTTCCTACCTTTAAATCCCAACTGTTTAATCATTTCTTATCCATCCAGTCCTCATCATAAGATTGTAAATAGTTACTACTGTAAATATGTATATAAATTATTAGATCATTCTTTATTATTTTTACTTCATGTTTATTTTCAATTTTTTATTTTTATTATTAACTGATGTAAATTAGAAAGTAACTTATAATTTCTCTAAATATTTTTTTTTTTCTTTACTATTTAATCAAACTATACTCTTGTTTATGTATCTCTGAGGCTCCTTAACCCACATTTTTGTTTCTCTGTATTATTCTAAAGGAACTCGTCCCAGAATAAATAAAGCATTATTATTATTATTATATAGTATGTTTGTATTTCACTCATCCTAAATACTCAATACCCTTAATTGAGGCAAATTGTATTTTTTTCTAAATAAAATATTATATAGTTGTATCGTATTAGACCATTTTAGAACTCCAAACGTATAAGTCAACACAGGAATAGCCCATGTATTTATGGCTTTAATTAAATTTCTCTTAGCTTTCTCTTAGACCGAAGACTGACATGGAACCCACATACAAACTCAAAAGACAACCAGGAACCAGGCATCCTGAAGATTGGAAATTGTACAATTACTATTCCAAACGGGTTAAAAAAAGAGCTGGCTCCCTTTAGATCCCAATCCTATAATTCCTACCTTTCTTCTCTCTCTACCGATCACAACTCCCTCTGGAAAGTGACCAAAAAAATCCTTAAATACCAATCTATTCCCCCCCTCCGGCGAGATGATGGAATCAGGGCTTCGTGAGATGAGACTAGAGCTGTAGAATTTGCCAAACACCTATCCATCATGTTCACTCTCCACCCCGAACTCCATCCCACCCACACTGCTGAAGTTTAAGATTTCCTCTCTTCTCCAATTCCTCTCTCCTTACCTCCTAAAGCTGCCAACCCCTCTGAGTTTAAATTCCTTATATACAACTTGAAACCTCGAAAATCCCCTGGACACGATCTTCTTACTTCCCAGATCCTTAGACAACTTCCCAATAAAGTAATCATATTCCTCACATACCTATATAACTGTACCCTCCGCACAACTCACTTTCCTCTGATATGGAAACACTCCATAATCATCCTCTTCCCTAAACCAGGTAAACCTATTAATAATACCTCATCCTATAGACCAATAAGCTTGCTCTCCATTCTCTCAAAAATCTTTGAAAAATCCTTCTCAAACGTATCCTACCCATTCTCGAAATCCACAATATCCCTTCCCATTAGATTGGTTTCCGCTCAAGACATTCCACTGTTCAACAAGGCCTTCGCGTTGTTGACCATATATCCTCTGCGCTTGAAAACAAGCAATATTGCACTAGTGTCTTTCTGGACGTAGCACAAGCTTTCGACCGGGTGTGGCATGATGGCTTGCTTTTCAAGCTCAAAATACATTTACCGCAATCCGTGTACCTAATCCTCAAATCCTACCTTTCTAATCGTTCCTTTCAAGTCCGCTGTGGCACTGAATTCTCCAATTATTATCCAGTTGAGGCTGGTGTTCCACAGGGCAGTGTCTTAGGCCCGGTTCTCTACATTCTTTTCACAGCCGAAATCCCAACCCATCCTAATACTCTTCTAGCAACATTCGCTGACGATACCGCCATCCTATCATCCCACCCAGATCCTGAAACAGCTTCCCTAAACTTACAAAGACACATTGACGCGTCAAAATCAATGAATCCAAATGCAAATATGTCACCTTTACCCTCCGCCGCAGATCCTGTCCACATATCCTTTTCAACTCAGTATCTCTTCCCATCTCAGACACAGTTCGGTATCTTGGATTCCTTTTAGACAAAAGACTAACATAGAACCCACATGCCAGACTTAAAAGACAAGAACTCAACCGACGATATGGCCAGCTATATAGACTACTGAACAGAAAATCTCAACTTTCAATTGACAATAAACTACTGATCTACAAGACAATACTGAAACCTTTTTGGACCTACGGACTGGAACTCTGGGGACAGCAAAATTTTCTAACATCAAACACATTCAATCCTTTCAGTCCAAAGTCCTTCGAACAATAGTTGATGCTCCGTTCTATGTAACCAACCAAACCCTACATCATGTCATCCAACCTTACATATCATCCAAATCCAATTGCGCAATCCCTATCTAGCTCCAGCCATCCCTACAATCCTCCTCGAAGGTTGAAGCGGCAGTGGCCTAGAGACCTGTAAGAATATATAGGAGTTATGGCAATGGCCAGATTCTCCACTCAAGCCATGTATGTCTGGTTTATTTATTTTGTTAGATTGGTTTATTTTTATTTAGTTTAATATCTTTTAGTTTATTTTTATTTATTGTATGGTATGAATGAACTACTCTATATCACTATTAATATTGGCCTTGAATGTGACAGATTGTAATATCTCAATAAAGAAGTTTAAATAGAAATTAAATTGCTAGATGATAGGTACGTTTTTGAGTAGTATTTTTATTCACTTCTTGAATTCTTCTTTTTAGTTCTCTTTATTATTTTTCTTGAATTTTAAAAGTTGACTGAAACCTAAAAATATTTAATGAATAAACAAGACACGGAACTGATTAATAATGGAACAATAAAAGAATTAAACAATTCTGATTCTTATATATATATAAGAATCAGAATTGTTTAATTCTTTTATTGTTCCATTATTAATCAGTTCCGTGTCTTGTTTATTCATTATCTCCCCCCTTTTAACATGAATTATAGCACATTTATCTATCCCCAACGTCATGCCTATATCATTACTAAATGATTTAACTATTTCGATCATGTTCTCAAGTTCTTCTTCACTCTTAGAATATAGTTTTAAATCGTCCATATATAGAGTATGAAATAATCTGGTTCCATTTTTATCGAGTCTGTACCCCATACCTGAATCATTTAATATTTCACTTAGTGGGTTTATTATCTGATGTTATTATTATTATTATTATTATTATATATACATATATTTATATTTTCTTTTGTTATAGCTTTACACAAACTGTTGACCACTCAAAGCTGTATCCAATATTAGTGGAATTGTAAGTTTTATTTAATTTTTTAAATGTACTTTATATATTCTAAATTTGTCTTACAGTAATTATTTTAATTTAGTTAAAATAAAGTTTTAAACATTTATATTTTAGCAGTGATTTTAAAGTTTATAAAATTATTAAAACATGATTTATACTATATGATGATTTAAAAATATCCTCAGGATGGTCATGAATTTTTCATCTGTATTGATACTTAATTTTTATACTCAATTTATGGGTAGACAAAACAAAATTACATAAATTATTCTATTTCTGTTTAAAATAAAGTATTTGTGCTATTAAAATAAAGTATAGATTGTTTTTAGTATTAAGCAAGTACAGTAATTTGCAAATGAAGTAGTTTATTAGACCAACTTTGCAGGTCTTTATTTGTGTAAAAAATGAACAAAATATAAAACAATGTAGAAATTGAAGTAAGTATTAATTATTATTATCAATTATTAATAGTAAATAAAAAAATATACTATTGTAAGGATTAGAGCTGAGCAAAAACTACTCTGATTAGAAAGTACAAATTACGAAGTATTTTACTTTACTACTCGTGCGGTCCGAGTACTTTAATCCCTACTCGACTTGATGATTCACAAGTATAAAAACTACTCAGATTTTCTCATGAATACTTTACATTTTCACATTTACTCAAAATTATTTTACTTTGAGTACTTTTCAAAGTAGTTGATTACTTCATTCAACAAATTACAGGAGTAGAATATATTATATTTCTTTGATATTTAGGTCCATTCTTATATTATTAGGGTTATAGTTTTAAAAATACTATCAATATTTAACATAAATTAATAAATTATCACCTTATTAAAATAATTCGGATTTATCTCATATTTGGATCCACATTTATGTTATCGGGTATTCTTGACTTTTCGAATTTAATATATATTAGGGTCCACTATTATGTTATGAGGAGCGCTTTTTATGGAAATACTGCTTGATTTTAGAATGCGCAATGGCGTATCAAGTTTATGTGACTTTTCAGATTTAATCGATATTAAGGTCCACTATAATGTTGTCAGGGACACTTTTTATGAAAATATTGTCGGATTTGAGAATGTGCTACAATTTTTTTTAACTTTTCGGATTTAATCGATTAGGTTCCACTAGTGTGTTATCGGGGGCGGTTTACGTAAATACTGTCAGATTTGAAAATGCGCATCAAGTTTTTGTAACTTTTCAGATTTAACAGATTCGGGGAGTTCGGCTCGAGCCGGTGAGAGTGACACATTGGCTCCACGTTAAAGTAAATTATGATATGGAAAAGTTTGTCCAATTGAGCTGGAAATTTACAAGTGGACCGAGGCCTATACTGGAGACAAGCTTCTGAAATCTGGGGAAAATCGAGAGAGGATTTTCGACAATAGCAGAAGGTAAAAAAATGTATGTGCTTGCGGAACCTGGCTGCTTATCTGGTGCAGCCAGAGACCAGTCGTTCCCCACCACGCCAGCCAAGATATCAGCAAAGTCAGTGTCATCTAAAGAGTTCAACATAATCAATCTAGCTATCATCAAAGGTGCCCGACCTACTTTGTTGTCAATTGATTTTTTTATTTATTAGATTCCTTGTTTTTTTCCTCTTCGTCTTTTAAGAATGCATGTACTTTTGTAGTTATGAATATATATTTGTTTAACCAGTATTGTGACGCACACATACATACATTATCTGTGTATGATTTCAATATTTTTTGTAATCTATTTGTATAATTTTAACTTATTCAAATTAATTAGTTTATGTATAGATATATATTTAAATATTATTAATCTATTTATTTAATTTTAGCCTACTGTTTGATCTGTATTTTAATTTTTAAACTATTTATATAATTTTAACTTTAATTAATTCACTTATATATTTTAAATCTATTTATTTAATTTTAGCCTATTGACACTATTTGATCTTATTTATATTTTTAAACCATTTATATAATTTTAACTCATTCATTTTAATTAATCCATGTATATATTCTTAACCTATTTATTGAATTTTAAGGTCATGACATTTTTAATCTATTTATTTAGTTTTAATTTACTTATCTGTGTATATATTTTTTAGAATTTTTTATTTATTTTTAACATATAGACATAGTTTTAACCTATTTGTATGCTTATATATTGATATGTTTGTGTTATGATGAAAAGATATGGATTCAGATCTATATAATTCTATAGGAGTTGAAATAGGTCAGAGAGTATGGGTTCTGAGATCAGAATTCCCAGCCCAAAAAGTAGTGGTGGCCTCTGTGATATCTGTGGCCGCAGCGGGAGGCAGTGATAGAACGCTCGTCAAGGTGGAATGGCAGGACGAAGAAGGCCAAGTATTGGGCAAAACAGTTTCAATTATAGATGTATTTCCGAGTTTGCCCAATTTGCCGCAGACATCCTTAGAGCCTAGTAGAGGAATAAAAGAAAGGAAACAAGGTCCGACCTGAGGGATCAACGGCAAAGTGTGTTCGATTTGTGAGCTGAGTTTTAAAGGAGATAGGGTTCTCAGAACCCATATGGCGAAGAAACATCCAAGGGAGGCTAACAGCGACAAATTATTATTATTAAATTTAAGTTAATTACAAATTTATTGTAACAACAAAATTCAAATATGTAATGTAACAAGCACAATACTATAACTCAAATTTTTTTTAGCCTTGCATTCACAAGAGTATTGGGATTGCAGTTCCGAAGATGGGAATAGATATCCCGAAACGTCAACTAAGTGTTAACATGTAACGTTGATAATAAAAATATACTCAATTGTTACCAATTGGAAGTTATTATTGCTAAACAACTAAAAGTATTGATATTGTTTATGCTGTGTAATATGAAAAAGAATTTGTATATATATATAAACATATGATTAAGTATAATTAAGTGCTATGTCCAAAAAAAAAAAAAAAAAGAATTGATGAGTATGCTGTGTATTTAGCAACCCTATTTTGTAAGGCAGCACTGCTTTAAATATAAATAAAGTATTTCTCTCTGTGATATTAGGATCCACTATTATGTTATCAGGGGCTGATATTAATAAAAATTCTGTTGAATTTGAGAATGTGCAGCCATGCATCAAATTTTTGTAACTTTACAGAAAGTATTGTCATAAAAAGCACCCCTGACATCATAATAATGGACGCTAATATCGAATAAATCCTCGATCGATAATAAAGCGTCGATCAAATAAATCGAATAAAGCGTCAAAATCAATGAATCCAAATGCAAATTTAAATCCTACAGATTTAAAAACGTGATGCGCAATTCTGGAATCTTTAACCCGACAATATTGTCATAAAAAGCACCCCTGACAACATAATAGTAAACCCTAATATCGATTATATCTGAAAAGCTAAAAAAACATGATGCGCAATTGCGGAATCTTAAATCTGACATTATTTTCAGAAAATTTGCCCCCGACAACATAAGAATGGACCCTAACATCGATTATATCTGAAAAGTTAAATAAAGTTGAAGCGCAATTTCGGAATCTTAAATATGACAGCATTCTCAAATCCGACAGCAGTTTCATAAAAAGCGCCCGCATTCAAAAGAATTTGGCTGAGTATTTTCTGTAATCAGATATAACGCTGCGAGTACTTTCTGTCCTTAACTAACGTATGATTAATGCAGCATGTGTAGATCACTCACTGAGAGTCAGCGGTCGAGCCGAGTACAGAAACTACTCGCTACTTTTTCCTAATAAAAGTACTCAAATCATGAAAGTAATCGAGTATTGTCTATCTCTAGAAAGGATGTTCAACAAAATATTATAGCTAATGTATGTTATATAACGTAAGTTCTTGATTGGCCCGTCCATGGCTTTAAAATGTCTTCCTATGATCTATATCATCTACATACCCCAGTATTAGGCTGGACTATTGAGAATTGTTCCTCCCACTTGGTTGCCTGACTCCTTTACTGCGCCCTCCAAAAAAAATAAAAGATCTCAGTAACTCTGGAATGAATTCAAGAACTCATCATCAACCTGCACTGAACACCACACAGTTTCCATTGTCTTCTGGATGAGTGTCACAAGCCTCGGCTAGTATTGACACTTCCTGTGTCATCATTCAGCATATTCACTGAGTAATTCCGCCACCGGTCGAGAATACTTTGCTTTACATTTAGGAGAGTGTCATCTGTGTTTATGCATGCAATTAAATAAGGCTTGAAGGGTTTTATACTAGGTGTCTGCGAAAAGATCATGATCTTATTAAATCCAAACGCCAATCTAGGACCCTCTGGCAAAGAACCAGGCATCCTGATGATTGGAAATTGTACAATTACTATTCCAAACGGGTTAAAAAAAGAGCTGGCTCCCTTTAGATCCCAATCCTATAATTCCTACCTTTCTTCTCTCTCTACCGATCACAACTCCCTCTGGAAAGTGACCAAAAAAATCCTTAAATACCAATCTATTCCCCCCCTCCGGCGAGATGATGGAATCAGGGCTTCGTGAGATGAGACTAGAGCTGTAGAATTTGCCAAACACCTATCCATCATGTTCACTCTCCACCCCGAACTCCATCCCACCCACACTGCTGAAGTTTAAGATTTCCTCTCTTCTCCAATTCCTCTCTCCTTACCTCCTAAAGCTGCCAACCCCTCTGAGTTTAAATTCCTTATATACAACTTGAAACCTCAAAAATCCCCTGGACACGATCTCCTTACTTCCCAGATCCTTAGACAACTTCCCAATAAAGTAATCATATTCCTCACATACCTATATAACTGTACCCTCCGCACAACTCACTTTCCTCTGATATGGAAACACTCCATAATCATCCTCTTCCCTAAACCAGGTAAACCTATTAATAATACCTCATCCTATAGACCAATAAGCTTGCTCTCCATTCTCTCAAAAATCTTTGAAAAATCCTTCTCAAACGTATCCTACCCATTCTCGAAATCCACAATATCCCTTCCCATTAGATTGGTTTCCGCTCAAGACATTCCACTGTTCAACAAGGCCTTCGCGTTGTTGACCATATATC